CCACTGTCCAATGAGGTGGTCTTCACCTGCACACATAACTTCCTGAGCCTCTGTTTCCCTCATTTTCAAGCAATAACTACAACACTATTATAATGCCCACTTCTCCAAGTTGTTCTGAGGAGAAGACCGGATAGATGCAAAGGGCCTTAGAACAGGGCCTGCTATGCCCTGCCTACCAGGAGTTTATTTTTAATCTTTTCTGATAGTAAACAAACTGCAGCGTTCATTCGGTTTGCAAGTAGTGTCCCCAGATAGCAGAAGGCTCCTAAGGATGGGCTGCTTGCACCAACCTGCCCTACCTAAGCTGAGCCTGTTTGTAGGCACCTTCAAATCAAAGGCAGACTTGCCTTTGAATACGGTGTTCACCAAACAAACAGATCTCCTTTGTCCCTCTCGTTTCCCCAACAATCCAAGAAGCAGAGAGACTTGTTTCTCAACCGAGACCGACTTACTGACGTCATGTGGAATCTCACGGCCGAATGGGAATTTGAACCCCAGTTTTCTGGCTGCAGTTCAGTCCTGTTCCGCTCGCTCTTAGACCCCGTATCACCAGCACTACAAAATGTTTTGAGACAGGTTTCCATAACTCCTGCCATGTTTATTGTGTGCCCCCGGTGCCACCAGAGAGGCTGTGGCATAACGTTTTGTACCTCAGCATTCTCGTCTTTCTTCCCTCCATCTGAACAATGTGGAACGTCAATGCCGACCCACTGTAAATACCAAATCTCAGATCAAAACACTTTTGGCGTGTGCCAATGGCCCAGAAGGAAAAGAATGGAGGCCGTGGGAAAAGACCAGACAGACTTACTTTGGGTTCTTTTCCTTTTACTTGGGTCTAAGAAAATCCAGCAGGTGTGTGTATGTGAGTGTCCAGAGTGTGTATGTGTGTGTATATATGCATGTGTGCATGTGTGTGCCTGTGTGCTCGTGTATGTGTTGTGTTTCGTGTGCATATGTGTGTGTGTGCCCGAGTGTGTGTGTGTGTGTGCCCGTGTGTGTGTGTACTCAGGTTCACATAAAATATAATACTATACAGTCAGAACTCTGAAGAGGTAGATGGTGTCTTCAAGTCTGTGTTTAGGACACAAGACTGAGTCACAAGGGTTATCCTGCATCAATGCTGTGTTCCTACAAGGAAGACTGTGAGGTGAGTCACCACGCCATCAGGCACTTCATCAAAGTTCCTCAACTTGGTTGTCTCCGGGCAACATGGGGCTCCGAGCAGCCACAATTAAAGCCAGAGTAGCTGACATGGGAAAGGCTGCTGATCATTACAGTGTCGAGAAAGAGCCAGGTGGGGACGATGATGGATTAAAAGTGGGCATTTAGCCTTAACTCTCCTCCTCAATTCTACAGAAACACAGGAAAGGGATTGTATTACAGGCAAAACCCCACAGGGACAAAGGAAAAAAAGGGATAACAGCAATGAAATTTTGGATGCTGGAGAGCAGATGGGCAAGTGGTAACTGACTCAACCCACCTGGAAGTGTCTGAGGCAGGAGTGGGAAAGTGAAGAAGAAAACAGACGTGTGTTGTGTAACCTCCACACGGCTCAGGAGCTAGCAGGACCAGGTCTCCTCAAGTCAGAGTTAATAGTGAGGGAAAGTGAAGAAGAAAACAGACGTGTGTTGTGTAACCTCCACACGGCTCAGGAGCTGGCAGGACCAGGTCTCCTCAAGTCAGAGTTAATACTGAGGGAAAGTGAAGACGAAACCAGACGTGTGTTGTGTAACCTCCACACGGCTCAGGAGCTAGCAGGACCAGGTCTCCCCAAGTCAGAGTTAATATTGAGGGTAAGGGCAAAGGGGATGAAGGAGAGCCTTCCTGAGAGTCTTCAGGACCCCGATGCTCTTCCTTCATAGAGCTACACAACCAACAAATGGCCCTGCCCTCCCAGTCCACCATCCCCACGGGATTCTGTAGCTGCTCCCACCAGTAGCCTAATCTGTGCCTCCATGGCTTTTCTTGACCAGGGAGATACTGTCATTGTCTGGGAGGCTTGCTTTGGCCCCTGGGCAGAAGTGACAGTGAGCCTTGCCAGAGCTTTCGACATAAAAGACATTGCGTGCCCCCACGTCCTCTGTGGGAATTTCTGGTACAGGAGAAGAATATGCCCTGGTCACCTGCTGGCCCAAGAAGAATGAGTGCCTTGTGGGACAGGGCAGACCTGAGGCCACCACCGCTAGCCAAGCCCAGCCAAGCCCGGCT